CAGAACTTGTATAAAACATTGCTTAATGGTTTTAACCATTCAAATTAAATATAATTCCAGAAGGGGAAAAAACAAAGAACAATGAAAATAAAGTTGATATAACTTTAAGACTTTGGCTGGAATCCACAAGAACAAATCCAGACAACACCTCCAAACACTCACACTTGGCACAAGAAAAAAAAGAGAGAGGGGCTTAAAGTGCAGTAAATTAAGGCCAGATTTGTTGGCCTACCTCTGAATTTTCTTAAAGTAAAACAGACACCTGAAGTGACTAGCAATTTGTTCACAGATAATGTTAATTGTCCAGAGGACCATCCACTGGATCAATACGTACTCACAGGTGCTTAGTTTATACATCAGTTCCCTAGAAGATGAGTCATAACAATCCATAACATAAATCAAACTGCCAAGCATATTTTCCAAGTCTATATGGTAAAAATCCTGAGAGAGAAAACTGGCAAGCATTCATATTAAAAATGAATGTCTACACAAAATAATTCAACTGCATTCCTCTACCATAGCAAAAGCAATTTTCCATATTATGGAAAGCTTTCCCTCAAAAAAAATATTTGTAACGAAGTACCAAAAACATCTTCATAAAACCGTCTTAAAGTAATACATCAGTAGTACACATTTTGCTATTCCACATAATATGCACATACACCCAAATTTCCCCATACTTCACAGTTAAGGTTAGGTAGCAAATCACTTTAGTATTATCATTATATTAATACTTCATTACTTTTAAAAGGAATACTATGGTACATTTACTATTGTTATGGGGGAAATAATACCGTAAAATTAAGGCTGAATACATATTTCAATTTATATCTATATTTTCAGCTGTTCTTCTTACACCTTCAAGGCTAAGATTTTCTAGGATTTGCCCAAGATGAAATAGTTCGAATAATAATTAATTGGCTGGTTTTGTGTATGCACAGAGAAAAAAATAATACACTTTTCTATTAATAAAAGTTTTATGACCTTGGTGGGATAAGTCTCATGACTGGAATACTGGTAGAGCAGGGTATAGTTTGTTCGGGAAGGACAGGAAGAGTAAAAAAGGGAGGTGGTGTTGCATTATACATCAAGAATATAAACACTTGTTCGGAGGTCCAGAAGGAGGTAGGAGGCAGACCAACTGAGTTTCTCTGCATAAAGATAAAAGGGGTAAAAAAGAACCAGGGCTGACATCTTGGTAGGGGTCTAATACAGAGCACCAAACCGGAAAAGGAGGTGGATGAGGCATTTCTAGAACAAACAACGAAAATATACAAAACAGAAGACCTGGGAGTATGGGGGACTTCAACCCAGACATATGTTGGAAAAATAATACGGCAAAACAAAATTTTCAATAAGTTCATGGAATGTACTGGGGACAAAGTTTTTGTTCCAGAAAGGGAAGGAAGTAACCACAGGGACAGCCATTTTAGACTTGATTGTAACAAACCAGGAGGAATTGGTAGCGACTTTGAAGGTGGAAAGCAATTTGGGTGAAAGATCATGAAATGAGAGATTTCATGATTCGAAGGAAGGAGTGAGAGCAGCAAAATAAGGACAACAGACTTCAAAAGTGCAGACTAACAAATACAGAGAACTGATAAGTAAGGACCCATGGGAAGAAAAATCTAAAGGAAAAAGGAGTTCAGGACAGCGGGCAGTTTCTCAAGGAGACAATATTAAAGGCACAACTTCAAACTATCTTAATACTAAGGAAAGACAGGAAGAATAGTGAGGCCAATACGTAGGGCTCTATCAATTTTACGTCTGGCAAAAATGTGTCACGGACCATGAAATTAGCCCTTCCCCATGAAATCTGATCTCCCCCTGTTGGGAGTGCCCCAGCTGAGGCGGGGAGAGAGAGAGTGCTCATAGCTGCGAATACATGCTGGGCTGGAGAGGGAGATCAGACCCACCTCAGACTGCCTCCCCCTGCTGCAGGAAGCTCTGGGGCTGGGCAGCAGCACTAGAAGTTCTTGCAGCTGGAGGAGGATCTGCCTCCCTCTGCTGCTGGGAGTGCCCCAATCTGGGGGCTCCTAGCTGCGAGTCCCTGCAGGGCTGGGAGGGACAGGACTCATCCCATCCTTCCCTTGCAGGGCAGCTTGGGGGGAGAAGGAGATCAGACCCGCCTGCAGGTACCTTTTGGGTTGGGACCCCCACGGTTACAACATCCAACACTGTGAAATTTCACATGTAAACATCTAAAAACATGAAATTGACCAATTTAAAAACCCTCTGGCCATGAAATTGGTCAAAATGGACTGTGAATTTGGTAGGGCTCAACCAATATGGTTCCATCAGGCGCTCTTTAATGACCCGAAAATCAAAAAGGAATCCTATAAAACAAACATGGACAAATTGCTAAGCAGTACAAAAGAACAACGTAAGCATGTAGGAACAAAATCAGAAAGGCTAAACCTAGCAAGGAACATTAAAGACAATAAAAAGGAGGGTTTTTTAATAGATTAGGAGCAAGAGAAAGATAAAGGAAAGCATAGGACCTCTGCTTATCGGGAAAGAGGAGCTAATAAATGATGACATCAAGGAAGCTGAGGTGTTTAATGCCTATTTTGCTTCAGTCTTCACTAATAAGGTTAATGGTGACCAGATACTCACCACAATTAAAATTAACAACAAGGGGGAAGGAATGCAAGCCAAAATAGAGAAAGAAAAGGTACAAGAATATTTTCATAAGTTAGATGTAATCAGGTCAACAGGGTTTAATGACATTCATCCTAGAGTACTTAAGGAACTAGCTGAAGCAGTCTCAGAACCATTAGCAATTTTCTTTGCGAATTCCTGGAGTATGGATGAGATCTCAGTACAAGGGAGAAGGGCAAACATAGTACCTATCTTTAAAAAGGTGAACAAAGAGGACCCAAAGAATCAGAGGCCAGTCAGCCCTAACATCAATATCTAAAAAGATACTGGAACAAATTATTAAACAATCAATTTGTAAGCACCTAGAGGATAATAGGGTCATAAGGCATAACCAGCATGGTTACTGGCCTAGTAGATGGTGGGGAAGCAGTAGATGCGATATATCTTGATTTTAGTAAAGGCTTTTGATGAAGTCCCACATGCCATTCTCAGAAAATGTGCTCTAGATGGAATTACTACAAAAGGTAAGTGCACAAATGGTTGAAAGACCTTGCTCAAAGAGTAGTTGTCAAGGATTCCCTTTTAAACTGGGGAGATTTATCAAGCAGGGTCCCACAGGATTTGTCCTCAGTCCAGTACTACACAATATTTACATTAATGACTTACATAATGGAGTGGAGAGTATGCTTATAAAATTTGCAGATGACACCAAGCTGGGAGGGTTGCTGACACTTTTGAGCAGGGCTGTCCCTAGCTATTCTGGGGCCCTATGCAGTCCCCTCCTCCCCCCCCCCCCGGTGGGGTGGGGGAGGAGGAAGGCCTCCATGGGGAGGAGGGGGCAGGGCTGGCCCCAGGCCTCCGTGGGGTGGGGCAGGACTGGCTTGGGGGACGGGGGGAACCACCCACCAGCACTTACTGGCGGCACGGCTGGGGCCAGGGCGCTGCACTTCCCGTCGCTGGTGAATGCAGGCCCAGCCCTGCTGCAGTCCTCAGTGGAGTGGGGGCGGGGGCCATGGGAAAGAGGTGGAGCAGGGGCTGGAGCAGCTGCGTACTTTGCATATGGGTAAGGATGGCCCTACTTTTGAAGACAGAATTAGAATTCAAAATGACCTTGACAAATTGGAGAATTGGTCTGAATTCAACAAGATGAAATAAAATAAAGACAAGTGCAACATCCTACACTTAAGGAAAAAAATCAAATGCACAGCTACAAAATGGGGAAAAACTGGCTAAGTGATAGTACCACTGAAGAGGATCTGGGGTTATAGTAGATCACAAATTCAACATGGATCAACAATGAGATCAGTTGCAAGAAAGACTGAAATAGTGGGGTGTATTAACAGGAGGGTCATATGTAATTGTCCCACTCTACTTGGCACTGGTGAGGCCTCAGGTGGGGAGCTGTGTCCAGTTCTGGGTGACACACTTTAAGAAAGACATGGACAAATTGGAGAGTGTCCAGAGGAGACCAACAAAAATGATAAAGGGTTTAGAAAATCTGACCTATGAAGAAAGGTTAAAAAACTGGGCATATTTAGTCTTGAGAAAAGAAGACTGAAGGGAGACCTGGTAACAGTCTTCAAAATATGCTAAGGGCTGTTATAAAGAGAAGACTGATCAATTGTTCTTCATGTCCACAGAAGTTAGGACAAGTAGTAATGGGCTTAATCTGCAGTAAGGTGATTTAAGTTACATATTAGGAAAAACTTTCTAACCTGGTAGTTAAGCTCTAGAATACGCTTCCAATGGAAGTTGTGGGATCTCTATCACTAGAAGTTTTAAAAAGCAGGTTGGACAAACACCTGTCATGGGTGGTCTAGGTTTACCTGGTCCTGCCACAGTGCAGGGGGCTGGACTTGACTTCAAGGTCTCCTCCAGCCTGACATTCTATGATCCTATATGGTCAGAATTAGCCTTTCAAGCAACAGTTCACATCACTCTTAGTGGTAGATCATGAGGTAAATATAGATCATGTGTGTGCATTAGAGAGAGAAAAAAAAATGAATCCAGCTCTACTTTTGCAACCAGGTTGCTTTTAAATAAAAAAATTAATCCAACAGAATACCTCTGTAAAAAACAGATTTCTACTGTGCCCTTTTTATATTTATTGACCTTATGCACTCAACACTTTGTATACTTAATCCATTACATAGGCAATACAAACATATGCAAAGGAGTGTGATTAATCTTATTCAAAATTAATATACTGTCTCACAAGATTCATATTTGTTTTATGACCAAAAGTCAGTTTACGAATTAACATTTTCAGAATAATTAAGGAAGGTAAAATGAGTAAGGGTTTCCACTATACGGATTTTTAAAATGTTTTGAAATCCATCCAACGTATTTTCAATGATATTCAGGTATATATAGAACAACCATGAAACCATTCTACTTACCAACGAGTCTTATTACATTCAGTGTAGTGTTTGTTAGGATGGGTGCATTCACCTTGTTGAGATTATAATCTGATCGCTTCCTGCTCCTCAGGGTTTCTCGAGAAACACTTAATTAAAAGAAAGTCAATTACCCATGTATGTCTAAAAGTGTACAAATGTAACTGTAAAAAAGTATGCCCTTGTACAACATGCATTTCAGGTCTAGCCATGTGCTTTATTTATGACAATATATAACTGGATTAGGGCATGTAGACATGTTTAGAAAGAGACTTAGTCTAGTTTTCTGAACACAGGACTAGAGACAGGAACTCTTGATTTCTAGCGCTATCTAATTCTTGCATCACTTGTAAAATGGAGAAGATGAGAATTAAACAGTTCAAGATGAAAAGCACTATAAGTAAGTGGGAAGAATCAAGTGAAGATGATGAAAGCACTCAAATTCAAACAGCCCCCCCATCTGCCATGCCTCAAAATTATATATGTCACCCCTGGAAAATGTGTTAAGAATTTCACAACCAATATGCATTTAGATGTATATGTAGCTACTTAGTTTGATTCCCCTTAAGTAACCTGTTGCCTTTGTTTTGTACACACGCTTAGTTTCAAGGATTATATAGGAATATATCTTTTTTGTAAAACTGCACTAAGAATATTTTAATTTTACCTGAATGACAGTATTCTACTTTCCCTACAAGCCTATTGAAAAATAATACCTTTTTGTTTTAGTGAGTATGAATAATTTCTATCTTGGTACAGTGCCAGGGGAAGGGACAAATTAGTAATCTGTTTTCTTTTAGACGATACAGAGTTGGCACAATAAAAAGAGTAAGCGATACTGAAGTGTTTGAAATTATAAATGGATACATTTGATCTATGGAAGCATTTCACTGAATACATACATAGGAATTCTACAGCACTTAAAAGTTGACTGATTTGGTCCAAAATTGAAACAGAGCATCCAACGTTGCAGCCATCTATCTTTGCACAATTACCATTGACTTGAACAGGAGTTACCTCCATGGAAAACTGTAGGATCAAGCCCTCGGTTAATGTATAATGCTCTATTAATCAATACTTCTCTTCTCTTTATGAGAATCTTTATCTTCTAACACGGCTGCTACTCTGAAACCTATCCATTCACTGTTTCTTTCTCAGATAATGCTGAGAGACAAGGTGAGAGAGGCAATATGTTTTACTGGACCAATTTCCACAGGTGAGAGAGACGAGCTTTCGCACTACACAGGACTCTTCTTCAGGTCTGGGAAAATGTACTCCGTGTCACAGCTAAATACATAGTCGAACAGATATGTTGGCATAAGTAATTAACACATATTATAAGGGACCATTCAAGTTGAAGTGGCCCATTAACACCCCTGCAGTTGTAGGACAAAAAGGAGAATTAGTGGGTTATAGATCACTGCATTTTATTTCTGTATTGAAGTAGGTTCTCTTGGGATATTGGGTGGCCCATTGCCCAATGCAATCTACTTCTTTGGTGAAGTGTCCTTATTTGGTGAAGGCAGTTTTGAGTGTGCTAAGGTGTATATCCTGTACTTTCTCCTCGGCGCATATTCTGTGGTATCTGAGTGCCTTATGTCTGTATAGATTTAGCTGTAAAATCCTCACTTCTATATTGTTTTGTATGTTTATTTGCATGGTCTCTCTCTGGTTCTGTAATTGTTTCTGTCTGCTGTGCTGTATAATTAATTTTGCTTGGTGTAAACCAATTAAGGTGGTGGAATATAATTGATTAAATAATCATGTTACAGTATGTTAGGATTGGTTAGTTAAATTTCAGTAAAATAATTGGCTAAGGTATAGCTAAGCAGAACTCAAGTTTTACTATACAGTCTGCAGTCAATCAAGAAGTAAGGGGGGAATGGGAACAGGGAATGGGGGTGGGGAAATTGGAATCATGTTTTGCTAAGGGGGGAATGGGAACAGGAATGGCTCTGTGGTGTCAGAACTGGGAAGGGGGACACTGAGGAAGGAAACTGGAATCATGCTTGCTGGAAGTTCACCCCAATAAACATCAAATTGTTTGCGCCTTTGGACTTTGGGTATTGTTGCTCTTTGTTCATGCGAAAAGGACCAGGGAAGTGAGAGGGTGAAGGAATAAGCCCCTTAACATCTTGGTGCCGTTGACTCGGATGCATCGCATCGGATAGGTGAGTGGCAGCCTGTAAGTCCCCCTCCCCAACTGTCCACGCATCTGCTTGGAGGGGGTATAGCGAACTCTCGTGATGGTAGTTGCGGGTTCTGGCAAGCCAGGGTAAAGGATTTTTAGGATAAATGGATAAGGAAGAATCAGGGCCCATACCAGGTGCAGGGGTCAGCCTGGGATGAGATTAAAAAGGAAATGGAGGAAGAGTTAGGGAACCCAGAGGGATGGAGGGTGTCTGAGAAGCCCACCCTCCTTTGGTATATGGATAGTGGAAGAAAGTCCCTGCCCATTGGGACTGAATGCCTTCCAGGGAAAGGATGCACTTCAGTCCACTTGTGAGAGGTTTGAAGTAAGGGCAGCATTATGGGAAGCTGCCAGTAATCTTTCAAGTTTGGTGCTGTTTCAGCAAGGGCTGCTGAAGGGTTGTAAATTAATTAGGGGTGGTTAAAGATGATTTGGCACAACAGGGTTTAGAGTCAGAAGCAGAGTTAACAGACCACCTTTAGAGACAGGAGCTGGGACTTGGTCCTGGGGGAGTGTGTGTGTGTGTGGGGGGGAAGTTTCAAAGTAAAAAATGGCAGGGTTTGCAGGAGTAGGTAACAACCCCCACTCTTCTCCCAGAGTCAGGATGAAAACCTGAGGGTAAGGGTTCCCAACTGTTTCAACCCAGGAAGCCTACTCTTGGTTCAGAGCTAACTATATCTTTTTCTTCTTTTCCTTCTTCTTTCTCTCAGTTTACTTAATGTTCTGCTGGTAGCCTGTACTTTAAACTGACTTGACAGGCTTAATTAAAATCCTATTAGGGCTCCAAAAGGAGCCACAATAAATTGTGCTCTCTTTTTCAGATCTGTGTGCGTTTTGGAGCAGGAGATGAAAGTGAAAAGTAATCAGAACTCTGGTGGAAGTGGAATGTGGTCCTTTTTAAGACAGTCTCTAAGCTGCTGATAGCTTTGGATCCAAAGGCAAGCCAAGAAAGCCTCTGTGTGAATGCAAATTACCTAGCTGATGGGGGAAGGAGGAAACTACCCATAAGCAGCAGCACAAAGAACCCGCAAATAATAAATACATCTGGTCAGCAAACAAGCTATTAGAAGACTCAAATTATGGCCCTCCAGGAAAGGGAGGTGAAAACAACAAGTCAAGCCTGCAACTAAGGGGGACAGGTTAACCCGGGGGGGTGAGGGGGAGGAGAGAGAGAGAGTGTGTAAAGCTGAAATCTAAAGCTGTCTCTCAGCTATTACCTGAGAATAAACTTAAAGCTTGGTACAGCAAATAAAAAACTATTGCAAACCTGGTCTGTTTTACAAGAGGGGAAACTGAGCCACACCACCTCAAATTTCATAAATGACCAGTGAGTGGGGTAATTCACTAGCCTGACTATAGAACAAAATAAGGACAGCCTGGAGGTAATTCTTCTGTTTTGCCTGCAATTAGCAAGGAAATTTGTAAAAGGAATTGGTATTATTATTAAGCAATAATCTGTCCCCACCAGGGGGGTGAAAATTGTTTTTTGTTTTGTTTTTCAGACGCTCTACAAGCATGCTGGCGCCAGCAAAAAAATAACCCAGAATACCATGAATCTATGTTTTGTGTTGTTTGCCTGTGGTGTCTGTATTGTTGCTAGAATAACGTAGGTGGGGGATGGCTTCAAAAGGCTGACCTGGGGGGGGAAAGATGTGTACAGGAATGCAAAAGGCTCAACTAGGAGGCCAGCACCTGTGTAATAGCAAAACATGGTGCCTGGAAATAGAACGGCAACTAAGGTGGGCCCCACAAGCCCTATGGGAATAATGAGAAGGGGAGGAACTCCCTGAGAATCAATAAAGGGGTGTGGAAAATGGTGTAAATCCAGAAAAAATGTTTAAATGTGCCCGTCTCCTATGCCTATGGAGGAGCAGGATCAATGGCCTATGGCAAGGGGTGGACAATTAGGTGTACTGTGTATAAGGTGTTTTGCTAAAAATGTACATATTACTGGGGGCACAATTACACCAGCCCCTAACCAAAGTACATACATCTACATGCTGCTATCTGAACTTTGGTGCACAAATGAATCTGTAAATCTTATTGCTGTAAATAATCAACCCGGGGCACACTGCCTGATTCCATACCAAGTGGTTAAGTTGGTTTAAACAATAACCCATTTCTCTGTGGACATTCAATGGACTTATGATGTGAACAAAAGCATGCAAAACCTGCAGGGGCAGCTTGTTGCAACTGCCAGCAAATGAACACATTAAAATCTTAACTCTGTCGAAGGAGGAAAGGCAGTGTTTTGGTGGTGGCTCAAATGTTGAACCATACTGCAGTGGTCAGGACTCGGTGTTGCTGTGAATTGTGTATTGTTAACTGTACCTGTGTTATGTTGCATATGAAAATATCCTATAAGTAATGTAGTAAGCCCTCCCTACCTCGCAGTGTACTAAACAACCCGGACCCAACCTTCTCGGGCCCACTATAATGGGAAGTCTGGAACACTAATTAAAATAGGTGTGGTATGCCCGTACAAGAGAAGGTGCAGGGCACTATACTACACAAGGGGCAGTGGGACAAATGAAATATCGACACCTTCCACCTTGATGCCTGGCCCTATCAGGAAATGTGTCACCATTAGTCCTATGCTTTTCCAGGGATACCTGGGCAAGAGGATCCCAAAAGAAGAAAGATGAAAAAATGGGTAGAGTGTTAGGATATAGATATTCAAGCCCGTTTGGCCTATAAAAAGAACAGGAGTACTTGTGGCACCTTAGAGACTAACAAATTTATTAGAGCATAAGCTTTCGTGGGCTACAGCCCACTTCTTCGGATGCATATAGAATGGAACATATATTGAGATATATATATACACACACACATACAGAGAGCATGAACAGGTGGGAGTTGTCTTACCAACTCTGAGAGGCCAATTAAGTAAGAGAAAAAAAAATTCTGAAGTGATAATCAAGATAGCCCAGTACAGACCGTTTGATAAGAAGTGTGAGAATAGTTACAAGGGGAGATAGATTCAATGTTTGTAATGGCTCAGCCATTCCCAGTCCTTTTATTCAATCCTAAATTGATTGTATCTAGTTTGCATATCAATTCCAGCTCAGCAGTCTCTTGTTGGAGTCTGTTTTTGAAGTTTTTCTGTTGTAAAATAGCCACCCGCAGGTCTGTCATTGAATGACCAGACAGGTTCAAGTGTTCTCCCACTGGTTTTTGAGTATTATGATTCCTGATGTCAGATTTGTGTCCATTAATTCTTTTGCGTAGAGACTGTCCGGTTTGGCCAATGTACATGGCAGAGGGGCATTGCTGGCACATGATGGCATATATCACATTGGTAGATGTGCAGGTGAAAGAGCCCCTGATGGTATGGCTGATGTGATTAGGTCCTATGATGATGTCACTTGAATAGATATGTAGACAGAGTTGGCATTGGGCTTTGTTACAAGGATAGGTTCCTGGGTCAGTGTTTTTGTTCAGTGATGTGTGGATGCTGGTGAGTATTTGCTTTAGGTTGGGGGGTTGTCTGTAAGCGAGGACAGATCTGTCTCCCAAGATCTGTGAGAGTGAGGGATCATCTTTCAGGATAGGTTGTAGATCTTTGATGATGTGCTGGAGGCGTTTTAGTTGGGGGCTGAAGGTGACAGTTAGTCGTGTTCTGTTATTTTCTTTGTTGGGCCTGTCTTGTAGGAGGTGACTTCTGGGTACTCGTCTGGCTCTCTCAATCTGTTCTTTCACTTCAGCAGGTGAGTATTGTAGTTTTAAGAATGCTTGATAGAGATCTTGTAGGTGCTTGTCTCTGTCTGAGGGATTGGAACAAATGCAGTTATATCTTAGAGCTTGGCTGTAGACAGTGGAACGTGTGGTGTGTCCTGGATGGAAGCTGGAGGCATGTAGGTAAGTGTAGCGGTCAGTAGGTTTCCGGTATAGGGTGGTGTTTATGTGACCATCGCTTATTAGCACAGTTGTTTCCAGGAAATGGACCGCTTGTGTGGACTGATCTAGGCTGAGGTTGATGGTGGGATGGAAATTATAGAAATCATGGTGGAATTCCTCAAGGGCTTCTTTTCCATGGGTCCAGATGATGATGTCATCAATGTAGCGCGAGTAGGGGCGTTAGGGGACGAGAGCTAAGGAAGCGTTGTTCTAAGTCAGCCATAAAAATGTTGGCATACTGTGGGGCCATGCGGGTACCCATAGCAGTGCCGCTGACTTGAAGGTATATATTGTCCCCAAATGTGAAATAGTTGTGGGTGAGGACAAAGTCACAAAGTTCAGCCACCAGGTTAGCTGTGACATTATCGGGGATACTGTTCCTGATAGCTTGTAGTCCATCTTTGTGTAGAATATTGGTGTAGAGGGCTTCTATGTCCATAATGGCTAGGATGGTGTTTTCTGGAAGATCACCGATGGACTGTAGTTTCCTCAGGAAGTCAGAGGTGTCTCGAAGATAGCTGGGAGTGCTGGTAGCGTAGGGTCTGAGGAGAGAGTCCACATAACCAGACAAGCCTGATGTTAGGGTGCCAATGCCTGAGATGATGGGGCGTCCAGGATTTCTAGGTTTATGGATCTTGGGTAGCAAATAGAATACCCCTGGTCTGGGTTCTAGGCATGTGTCTGTACAGATTTGTTCCTGTGCTTTGTCAGGGATTGTTTTTTAGCAGATGGTATAGTTTCTTTAGGTAATCTTCAGTGGGATCAGAGGATAATGGCCTGTAAAATGTGGTGTTAGAGAGCTGTCTAGCAGCCTCTTGGTCATATTCCAATTTATTCATGACGACGACAGCACCTCCTTTGTCAGCCTTTTTGATTATGATGTCAGAGTTGTTTCTGAGGCTGTAGATGGCGTTGTGTTCAGCATGGCTGAGGTTACGGGGAAAGTGATGTTGCTTTTCCACAATTTCAGCCTTTGCACGTTGCCGGAAGCAATCTATGTAGAAGTCCAGTCCGTTGTTTCTACCGTCCGGAGGAGTCCACCTGTTCATGCTCTCTGTATGTGTCTCTCTCTCTCCCTCTCCTCAATATATGTTCCATTCTATATGCAGCCGAAGAAGTGGGCTGTAGCCCACAAAAGCTTATGCTCTAATAAATTTGTTAGTCTCTAAAGTGCCACAAGTACTCCTGTTCTTTTTGGGGATACAGACTAACATGGCTGCTACTCTGAAATTTGGCCTATAAGATATTCAAGCCTGTCTGGCCTTTAAGAATTTAGGTGTATTCTTATAACTTAGCTAGTTATAGAGGTATAAAAGAATCAAAATCATTGTCTATCTGTGTCTCTCACTGTGACAGTCTGAGGCCCTGTTTAGTCAAATTAAAATAAGGCAATCTGGGGCTGTTAGGAAGGTGATCCAATCTCTCACCTCCAGATAAAGGGAAGAGCCTAGAACATATAAAAGGAAATTTAGTGTGATAGTTTTCTGTCTGGTAAGAACTCACTTATCAATAGACACAGCTGGAAAACCCTAATGTCTGTATAGATGTAGTTGTAAAATCCTCACTTCTGTATTGTTTTGTATGTTTATTTGCATGGTCTCTCTCTGGTTCTGTAATTGTTTCTGTCTGCTGTGCTGTATAATTAATTTTGCTTGGTGTAAACCAATTAAGGTGGTGGAATATAATTGGTTAAATAATCATGTTACAGTATGTTAGGATTGGTTAAATTTCAGTAAAATAATTGGTTAAGGTATAGCTAAGCAGAACTCAAGTTTTACTATATAGTCTGCAGTCAATCAGGAAGTAAGGGGGGGAAGGGAACAGGGAATGGGGGTGGGGAAATTGGAATCATGTTTTGCTAAGGGGGGAATGGGAACAGGAATGGCTCTGTGGTGTCAGAACTGGGAAGGGGAACACTGAGAAAGGAACCTGGAATCATGCTTGCTAAAAGTTCACCCCAATAAACATCAAATTGTTTGCGCCTTTGAACTTTGGGTATTGTTGCTCTTTGTTCATGCAAAAAGGACCAGGGAAGTGAAAGGGTGAAGAAATAAGCCCCCTAACAGTAGATAACAGATTTCTTTATGTTTTGGGTGGTTAGTGCATATATGAAGGTAGGTGTGGTGATCCGTGGGTTTCTTGTATATGGTTGTCTGTAGGGTTCCAATGCTGAAGCTGATTGTGGTGTCCAGGAAGTTGATGCTGGTGTGGGAGGGTTCCAGAGAGTTTAATGGATAGGTGGTGGTGGCTGTTGCAGTTGTGCCGGGACTCTATTAAATAAAACCCCCTTTGACTGCACAACCCTAGTTGTCACCTACCATCCCACAATGAAACCCATATGGGGTATCATCAAACAATTACAACCCATACTTATTAGTGACCCCATCCCAAAAGAAATATTTCTGGAATCCCTTCTTCTGGCCTTCAAACAACCTTTCATCCTCTCCGATGTCATCATCAGAAGCAAGCTCCCCACAGACCAAGACACACCAACTCAGAGAGGCACCAGACCCTGCCAGAACAGATACAAAACCTGCAGACATATCTCCATTGCTACAATGATCAAAACCCTCCACAATACACCTTTCAAGAACCCTGAGTCCTATACATGCCTGTCATAACATATGGTCTACCTCATCCAATGCAGTACATGCCCAATGTGGATGAAACCAGACAATCATTATGCTCTCAAATGAACGCACAGGAAAGTGATAATGGACAAAAACACTGTATCATCTATGAGTGAACACTTCACAAAGTGATCACTCTATATCTAACACTCATCCTCAAAGGAACCCTGCACAACACTTTCAAAAGACAAGCCTGGGAACTTAAATTCATAACTTTTCTAGACACTAAAACTCTATCTTAATAAAGACACTGGATTTATGGCTTATTACAACAATCTGTAACCCACTAATTCCCCCTTTTTAGCCTATGACAACAGGGTTATAACAGGGCACTTTACCTTGAATGGTCCCTTAATATGTGCTAACTACTTATGCTAAACTATCTGTTCAACCTTATATTTAGCTGTGACACTCTGAGTACCTTCCCCAGACCTGAGGAAGAGCTCTGTGTAGCTCAAAAACTTGTGTCTCTCACCAACAGAAGTTGATCCAATAAAAGATATTACCTCACCCACCTTGTCTCTCTACTATCCTGGGTCCAACATGGCTACAACAATACTACATACGTCAGACAATGCTGCACAGCTTACGGCTTCTCTATTTTGGAGAGCTACATTCCATACCGTTCAAATTATGCCTGCAGTATTAGAGATTATTTGACAGCTAAGTATTTGGTTCTATGAAAATCTTATAGAAAGGAAAGTTTAAAAAGCATAGAGCAAGAGATGCAAAAGGGCAAATAATTGTATGTTTACCTTTTTACAGGGGCATCTCCTGTCTGCTCATCCACATAATCTCTTTTCAGCTCCTCAGGAACATCACTGTCACTGTCATACTCTTGATAGGCACTCTTCTCCTGTTCATCAGATTCATACTATTAAAGAAACAAAGTAACAGCTTTCACTTTTTTTTAATTTTTTTTTTAAAAGAATATCCCTGAACATCCATTTTAAAAAAAATGAGTTGTGCTTTGTGACTTCTTTGCTTTTAGTTCTTCCACAATGCAACTGTGTTATTTGTACCTTGACTGAGTTTTCTGTATCCAGTGCATGATTAAAAACTGTCTACCCAGCTCATTAATAATACAGGAGAATTTTGACAATGGACAAAAACACATAAAATCTTTAACTAGATTTTAAAACATGCTTCTATTCCAGATGTCCTGTAAAAATATTTTAATCACTTTTTCTCCTAATCACTGTTTTCCTCCTTGCCTCAATATTACCTATGTTATTCAGATATTTGACATCATTTATTATTGCTTTTTTAGTCAATAATATGCTGCACAGTTTATATAAAATCTAAATTGGTCAAAATATTGGCAATAGAAAAGGCGGTGTAAAACTATTAGACTGAGTAAGAAAGTACCAAAACAGTAGGTGATTATGAAAACTTTTGGTTATTTTGTGTATCCCCTTTTAAAAAGTAATCTTTTCCATGATGTGCATATGTTTTATAGACATTTTGAAAATATTAACAAAATATTTAAGCGTTTTTAAAATCAGTTCTTGTACATTCAACAGAACACTTCCACTGGAGTATTTTTCAGTTTGTTGGACTGGTACGTAGTGATGCTACACAGAGTCACTTTGACTTTGAACAACTGTTACAAAAACTTGATTATTGCAAAACCACTGAAATTTATCTGAATATTTCTCAGGATTACAATACAGTATCATGCATTTTTTCTTCTAAAAACTTTAAATGCATGTGAAGCAGGTTCTTCAAATCTGTGTACATCAAATCCATGAAAGTAATTAACATACATGACACACAGTATACAAGGACAGTGATCCTATCACTTATTTTAACAGATACACCTTAGATAGCCCCAGATATTGTGCTCTCAAACCTGCCTAGGGAGGTTGTGGAATCTCCATCTCTGGAGATATTTAAGAGTAGGTTAGATAAATGTCTATCCGGGATGGTCTAGACCAGGGGTCACAAACACACGTCCTGCGGCCCATGGGGCTATTTCCTGCAGCCTGACAAGCTGCCTCCAGGCCAGGGGTGAGCAAACGACGGCCCGCGGGATTGCCCCCCCTCAAGCCCCGCGCCACTCCCGGAAGCGGCTGGCATCACGTCCCTGCGGCCGGGGTGTGTGTGTGTGTGTGTGTGTGTGTGTGTGTGTGTGTGCGCTAGAGA